GATTGTTGTTGATGCGAAGGAAACTCTGCGAGTTCAACACTAATAACCGAATTCCTACGATAATTAGAATAATTCGTATAGTATTCCAACTTGTTTTAATATTTATAAAATTGTTTTAAATTAAAATGTTAGCAATTAATAACTATTAACATCTGTTAGGTTCAAGAAATGTTTAGTAATGATCATGGGGCATTAGTTTTATTGTTTTTTTTTTTTTTTTGCTATTATTATGACAAGATTGACATGTAGCTTTTCTTCCGAACATTTTCACGGAAATATTTACTTCGTTTGCTCACCAGTTATATATAAAACGTATTCTATCGGATGTAATACTTTAAAATAAGAAAACGATCAATTTTTAAATAAAATATTGTAATAACCCAAAAATACAAAAGTAAAAATAAAATGAAAATACCTTATAACGGTGGGAAAATATGGTGTATAGTATGTAATTTTGTATAATGTATTATGGGTTGATTACCTTCCTCCTTGTTTAAGGGAGAGATATTGGGGTTACAAAGATTCGAGATCCAAACAGTGCAACTGGGTAATCTGGCAAGCCAAATAAAATAGCACATACTTGTATCGTAGTAGTTATTCGAAATGTCGACGAGTTGTGCACATACAACTATCGCAGGAGTGAAATGAGGTTGAAATGAGATAAGCAGAGGATTTGACATGCTGCTGTTGGACACTTTTCAATACTCGCACATAAAACTCAAATCAAACAAATTAGTTATAAAAATTAGTTATTCGTACACGGTGGTTACTTGTCGCAGAACACTCCTTTACTAATATTACGGTCCGTGCGCACGCACTGACGATCTAAGATAGGGTGACCAAACGTCCCGTTTAAAACAGGATTGTCCCTTTTTTATCATTATGTCCCGTTGTCCCGACAAACTTTGAACGGGACGCTTTTTGTCCCGTTTTTAGAATAGGGTCCCGTTTTAATCACGTTACTTCTATAAAAATTGTAAACCGAGAGCAAAAGAAAAAAAAATAAGACATGTCATATAGTATATATGTATGTACTACGAACTCATGTGTGAGACTTCTAAAGAAATCGATATTAAATACGAATAGTTTACCAATGTACAGTACTATTTATAATCAACCATATTCGGTATAATAGGTATATTAGGTATATTATATTAATCGAAAAATCGAACATAGTCGTGCAATAACGGGTGTACATTGCAACGATCTTGTGTTATTAATGTTATAGCCACTATGTATAGTTTTTTTTTATTTAAATTGTTGTGAGTCGTTAGTGTTATCACTTGTATTGTTTTTTTAAAATGCCTAAAAAGAAATATACGTTCACTGTACCTTTGCAGATTAACTAATGCAATAATAGAAATAATATTATCAATCACAAATATTATATGGACGGACGAAAAAATAGTTTTCTCGTGCCAATTGTCAAAGCAATAATAATTCTTATAAATAATTTTAAAAAATATTCCTGTAATGATTTTTATGATTTTTTGTTAATACAACTAAAACTATTAAATGCAATCAGTTCATAAAAAAAAAAATAATGTCAAAGAATGTAATGAAGAAAATTTTGAACAATCGACTCAAATAATTCGAAATAATCAACTCAATAAAAATAAAGAATATTTTAAGTAATTTTTTTTCAATCTCACAGAAAAAATAGAATGCAAATCAATTTTTAATTAAAATATCAAACTAATTAAAAATTATTTGCATATAATATAGAAGTTAAAACAAATGTTGTCTTTTTTTTTTGAGAACATATTTGTCCCGTTTTTTTCTTTTATAAATATGGTCACCCTAATCTAAGATCAAGAGCCTGAGAAAAGGGTATTATGTCCCTATTATATAGGGGTATGGCCAGATGCACCTTGAACTGATCGTTTCAAAATATGATCTACTTATGATGTCAATGAAGTATTGTAGGGTTAAGCCTTTATTGATTGATTTGTGTTGTCCGTGCGGGTAACGAAAGAACCATCATTTATTATTTTATAAAATGGTTTAAGATCATATGGTATACATAATTATGAAAGATTTATGCAGTATTTTACGCTTGAACTATGCACATCATTAAAATATGATTAAATAGACTTAAAGTATAATCTACATTTAAATCCATTTCCTACGATTATGATATATAATTAAGTATAATAAAACAAAACAAGTATAAAAACAATGTGCACAATGCCTACAATAATTTACTTTGCTCATAGTACAATGTATGTTTATGTATAACAAAATCAACCCACCGAAATCCAAACACATATCCAAATATGTAAAGCGATTTTAAAAGCATTTAGTCACCTATATTTCTGTTGTGCGAATTATATGAGATTTAACTCAATCATGAACTAAACTGGTAACAAGTAACATCTAGTAAATTTAAATAAATCGTGGTACAAAATAATTGGATGTTTAGCCGATAGTGATACACGTGTTCTCAAAAAATAATCGATTTTTATCCGAGCCATTGATTTATATCCATAATATAAATTGTTACCATTAAAATTGAGAAACATCACGTATGATTACATATGATTTTGAAGTAATTTTGAAACCGTATTTTATTTTATAAAAAAAATTAATGTGATATTTATGGAAAATAATTACTATGTATAAAATAGTATGAACGGAATTAAATTATTTACTAATATTCTACAATTTCTCTACATATACATATTATGATTGAAAATTCATTTTATATTCCATCTCATGAACTGTATGATACTGTTTTTTTAGATTATAATTGAACTTTAACTATTTTTTTTTCTAATTAATTTATTTTATTTAAGATTTTTCGTTCAATCACCATTCACTAACAATAACTATAAAATCACATACTATGACCGTTGGGCACTCGAAAAAAAAATAAAAAACTATAAATCAATATGTTCGTACATGTTTTTAACATTTGTAATCACATGAAATATGATTAGTGGATAGGTTGTATTCAAAAATCGTTTTCGAAATGTGATAATTTATAGCTTTTAAATATAATATGGCAACTACACGCATTCAAAAACACCTCTCCCTTTTATCGCAGGCTGTAGCCAGCATCCAAAAGCGGTGCAGACATCGTTCGAATTTTATCCAAACATTTCTCTATGGACTATAATAAGAATACATAATTTATTGTAACTGCTACTTTTTGAATTAAAAAATATTTATATTTATCTTAATATAATTTTAAGAAAATATGTTACACTTGTATTATATTATTATTATGATCCAAAATTACTTTAAAATACTATCAAATGCAGTTTATATTATGGTCGATGTTAAAACTGAAAAATAACTGCGTTGGAAAGAAATATTTATGTTTAAACGGTAAATTAATGAGTAATTGTAAATCTGTTTGGTAAAAATGAATGTATTATGTTTTTTGAGTACGAAATTGAATAACTGTTTAAGTACATAAGTACAATAATAATATCAATTGGTGTTTTTTGTGGAAAACTTAAGTTTTATTTAGTTCATTAAACACCCAATGAATGTGTGGTGATAACATCAGTAAAGAAGCCAAAGAATAAAATTCAGTAGTTGACAGATATTTATCTGTTATTACCATGAAAATTAATATCGTTTTATTGTGTAATTTTGGATATCATATAATAATTAATAATAATATAAACATTTTGATAGAAAAAAAAAAAACGGACATAAAATATTATAATTTTCAATGTTTTTATTCAATTCTGATATACTCGTGTAGTATAATAAATTTAACAAAACCGTAAACTACGTGGTAATTAGTAATTTAATTGTAATCAATTTAAATCGATTACAATATTTATTCGATATATTTAAAATATCACGCATTGGAAAGCATCGAAATTCGTATTGCTTTATTTTTTACCAGAGCATGCCAAATTTTTAATTATTAAACCTAAAGAATTCACGGAGAGAGCCGTTCGTCAATAATAGTGTATACCGTTCTAGTCCACGGGTAGAGTTCATTATCTTTGAACCTTACTTCATTAAAATTCTACTATATATTCTACAACCCAAATGGATTTAATAATAATATGAGCCTTGAAAACTAGGAGTGACATTTTTTTAACTTTTTTTTTTATAATTGCAATTGGTAACACCAAAGGTCTTACACCGTTCGACATTGATAATTTAATTGATACCCAGCCGACAAAATTGTACGCGAGGTTTGATTGAATAATGAAGCAGGATGATTTACACGGGATGTATTTACGGTATACGTCCGGCTTCTATGCTTACACTTCACGAAAACAATAAGCAATTGATAACGTAATGATATCGCGAATAAATGCTAAGTAAAATCGAATCCAAATACTATGTTGCTTCGTTCATTCGGCGAGGAATCGTTTCGATGGGGATACGGTTATCAAGAAATCCTAACGCCTATTAATCGTTCTGTTCGTCCTACTTCGTGCCGTACGTAACGTGCTCCTCGCCGAGTAGACGAATTGATGAAAGAAAAACAAATTAAACGAAATGAGAATACTTTAATTAAATTTACTCATCATTCATTCGCGATTTGTAGAGTTTAAAGGTTTCCATAAGTTATAGGTTGCTTTTCCGTTTTTTTTTCTCGGCCATTTTTCATGCGGACGAAGTGTTCTTGTCGGGTTGATTGTTGATCGTGATTATCATAAGCCGCCGCCACCGCTGATATAAAATACATTATGAAGATAAATATAGATACATTATGATCGTACGAACGGTGGCGCGGCTAGAAAAATGTTTAAAGGTGGTTTTTACATTTTAATTCTTTCCTACATAAATACCAAATTTTTTTATCCTGACGAGTCTATTGAATACAAATTAAAATGTAGAACGTGTTGTTGTTTAGCTCATCGGAACTGTGAAATCGTTTAACGATAAACACGATGTAATGTTATACATACGCCTTAAAGGGATTGTGCGTTTTTCAAATGAAGAGAAACATTTAGGGAGGGACCCATGAACCCCCCACCACCCCTTGGGTACGGCGCACTGTGCACGACGAGTACACCGGATCTCACCTGAACAATCCGCAATAGGATGTGGTGGTATCGAACGACTGGTCCATGGGCACGACGCGGTCGAGGAACTTTGGCGTAAGGGTCAGCGACGACACGGCAGCCAAGAAGCCGTGGTCGCCGAGCTCGCCGGGTTCCACGCCACACCGTACGCTACTGCCGCCACCGATGGTACCGTTCCGTGTTGGTTCGCCGCCGCTGCCACCGCCTCCTGCACCGGTCGACACCACTCCGTTGCCGTGGGACACCAGCCGAGACGAGTCCGCCATAAACTTCGGCCTCTGGCACATTTCCTGAAACACCGAAATCGTGTTAACGTGGTATTTACGATGATGCGAACGTCATGCCCAACTGTAGTGTTACTGAACCACAACACTACCTAGAGTATAATAATAAATTATATCATTGCGAAAACAACACGTTTGTCGAAACGCTAATGGAATGAACTACGAAAATCAAATTTTATTTATTTAACACTACAACGCAACCGTGTAGACGTATAATCTAATGTTCGTCTTGGTTTACACTTGGTGTGCAAAATTTCTTTTCGATACGTAGTTTACGCCCAATCGTATGTGTTCACGTGACATTTGGTCGGTGAAGACCAAACAGAGATAACATAAATGGGTGTCCGGACACGTGTTATTCCAATATATTATTGTTTCCGGTCCGTCCTCATATAACTTTTTCACGAAATGCGACTTAAGTAGAAGCGTGCCGAATTACAAAACATGGGTCATGTTAATCGTGAACGCGACCTCAATGCGTCAGCGAGTAATACGTGTTTTCTTGACAATACGCGATCGAAGCACAAACAACTTTATGTCGATTAACCGCCACTGGTAATTGTTTTACATTACAATCGGCAACACGATCAAAATCGAACGAATTCAAATTTCTATTTCTTGTCAATAACGTAAGACGCGGCGTTGTTTTTTTAAAATAATAAAATCACCACATCTCGAACCCTACTGAACGTGTTAATGAATACTCCTGCCATGTGCAATAATTTTTGATTCTTCTGATGAATACAAATCTTTTTTTTGGTATTATAATTAATTAATAACGGTAACCGTAACATAAAATATGCATATATTATACTATTTTATCCCGACGGACTATTTAAACGAAATGCATTCTATTATTACCGTATCCTATACACAATACATCAACAGCCGTCTATGAAATATTACAGTTGAACAATATTTTATAATAGTCTAATTAAATTAAATAAACGTCTGACAGTGTTTTGAAAAATATGTTGTTCCGAATATGGATATAATTATTACCACTGTTTTTTTTTAAAAAAAAAAAAAATTATTTTGATTTAAATTAGACATAAACTATTCATGTTTTATACGCCTGTGAAATAACTGTCTGAAATATAATTAGGCATTTTACCCAGAGTATCAAAATGTAAAATAGGTAATATATATTATACCTGCAATCTAGTATGATTATGTGTGAAGCGTAATAAAGTGTAATTAAGTTATACGTATCTATTGCGAGACTAAACATTAGCAGACTGCTACTGTATTTTCTAATATTTTAGTAAAAAATATTTTTAAAGCACGCCCAAGTAGTTACAAAGTGCAAACGTAGTGTCTAATAACAAAAAGGTTAAATTAGAAAGTAATCTTTTGTACGTTTTCAAAATATTTATTGTAGATTAAATGTATGAAAGCAAGGAAAATATTTAATTTATTTATTTTCAATGACTATGTTCTAAAAAAACTGATTGGCTATGGACATTATGATATTTTAATGAGTATTTGATGAAGATTTGACAATAAATTACAACATTTCGTTAACTATAACCTAGAAGTGTTTAAAAACGAAAGGTCTTGCAGTATATTTGTGTTCACTTAAATTAATAAAATTATACGAATTCATTTATTGCATTAAAGGGCGATTAACTTTCAAAGTAAAATGCAATCATTATCTACTCTTTTCATACGGATATGATTTGTAGTAATTTTTCGTCCGAGAACGGGTTTTATTCAGAAACATGACAAGTCTGGAAAATTATAATTAAATCGAATCTATGACTTTTGAGTTAACATTACGCGTGTTGATTGCATTAGCTTTGAATTAAATGAGTTATAAATAATTTTCTATTGAATTAACATTACTACTATTGTAGATCTAAAGTGTTATTTTCACAAGAAAATAAAATAGTACATTGTATTTAAAGAAAGTACACAAATTCAGTCGTTGATTTGTTTTCAAGCTATCTAAAAAGTAAAATGTAAAAATGTTAAAACTTAATCGACACCGTTGTATTGTTAACGCCCAATAGAACGGCAAATATACAAGAATGTGTTAATAATAATGGTAGTAAAATATTGTGTTTGATTGGAAAATGAAAAACAATAATGAAATGAAGTTAGGAACGGAATGCGCGAGTCGTGGTGGAAAATATGAATAAATGTCATACTTTCAAGTCGAAAAAATCACGCGTAAAAATGCCATACAGTGCATACCATATATCTATCTCGCATTAAGGTGTTACAATCACTCAGAACTAATTATGCGGTTCCATAAAGAGTTATCTTTCGTATATCAACACGCACTAATGACCACCGCCGATATAATAATAATAATGTTCACGAGATAATAACGCGCTCGTCGGCGTTTACGGTTGACCAGCACAAATGTAAAAATAAAAAATAAATACAAACGAGTACACCTCGCAGCATGATTTATGATCGTGAAGAAAAAAAAATTCTCAGATTTAAAATGTACGTACGTATAGTGTTATCAGTAGTGCGTTACTTTTAAATATATATAAAAATATTCTTTGCGATATAATTAATGTATTAACGGGTATATATATATCTTCTAACTACTACATAAACGTGAAACTGTTAATGTCGGTTTTTTTTTTTTTGTTTTCTAGACAATTCTCCATAGATGTTTTATAGCTTTTTATTTTTTCAGTACCATACATAATAGCTTTGCAAATATTAACCCGTCATTGCTTCCATATGAGATCTTATCGATTTGATAACTATGATAACCTATGGCGCAAAGATATTTTTTTTTTTTTTTATTAAGAATAAGGCTTCGACATCGGCGGTCATTAGTCTGAAATGGTTTACAGTGGTAGATTAAAGATTAGAAATAATGATACAGTCTTATGTACATAGTAACATAAAAATTAAGCAAAATAAGTAGATAAATAAAGTAAAATAGTAATGTTTAATAAATAGGTAAAACAGTAGTATTTGCAGATTTTTTTATAATAGGTTGGATACTTCGATGGCGTTAAAAAAGTTGAAGACGGCATCTGTGATGGTTTCCCCGAGTGCTTCTTCGATGTTGGGTGGAAAGTTTAAGATGCTTCGTTCATTGTTGTACTTGGTACAGCTGAGTGTGAGATGTTCAATTGTCAGTGGTAGGTCACATAGATGGCAGGTTGGATGTTCTTCATGATTGAAAAGGAAAGAATGGGTGAGATGTGTGTGGCCAATTCTAGCTCTAGTTGTGACGATATCTTCATATAAATTATTTTATTATTAACTAGCTGACCCGACAAACGTTGTTTTGTCATATAAATTATTTCTAGAGAATATTTTGCTAGAAAAAAATAACTAATTAAATATAGGCATGTAAGAATGTGGGTAAGGATAAGGATGTAAGGAAGATATATGGCGTGCTATGAATGGTAACGAAATATAAAAATGAAAAAACATCAAACATTTATTTTTTTTAATAATTTATTAAAATTGATCCATTAAAATAATATATATCGCTAATTATGACAATATAAGTAAAAAACAATATCTATCCCTTAATGCAACAGAGTGTACAATATTTTTTGTAATCCCATCTTTCGCAAACACAAACTGGATGGCTCGAGAGCACACCACGTATAATTATCCGTGTGAAAAATATGATGTGCTCAAATCTAAGCTACAGACATTGTTTGGCTTTGAAACTTATTGATAGTCATTGCAAATGCCAATCTAATTGGAAATTTAAAGCGTTTAAATTGTATTGGCACATCTGTGGGTATAATAGAGATTCGCGGTAATAATATATTTTCACATCGGAATTTGCCATTTAAAATTATGGCTTCGATAACATTTTTCATTAATTTTTTAACAACTTATCGCGTGTCGTTGTACAACCGTGGTAGGTCAAATTATGAAGCAAAATAACCGAAGAACTAACCTTCAATTGTAAATTATGCGGTGGCATGCCTGGTAAGTCCAATGAGTTTAAAAACTCTGTTAGATAATTTACAGCTTCAGTATCATAGCAAACTATATCTATAGATTTGTATGACACCATGTCTCCTGGTAATAAATGTTTATCTTGAGATTCAATTCGTTGACGTCCACATTTTTTACTACTAAAATTGCCCTTTCTGCCAGCCACTCATGATTTATGTATTGTCTGTGTACATTGGAAAATATCTAGTCAATGAGAGCATCTTGCGAATAAATGATTGTGCAGAAATCGGTCGGTAATTTTATACATTCCGTTTTATCTGTAGTAACTTTCCCATCTCCAATATCTAACAATTGTTTTGAGAATCTTCTGCACGCAGCTTTTTTTGATTAAATCGCAAGTATCAAAATCGTTCGCTCTCTGTCTTTACATACATTTCGACGATGAATTGTTGACGAAGCTCATGATATCGTAGAATAATTTTGTCTTGATCTCGTTTAATCATCAACCGATATGCATAATAATTTTTCGAACTAACATTCTTATTTGTTTTGACACCTGTTGCGGGATCTTTTTTTGTTTAATATTTATGCAATAACCGTCATTTACTAACAAAAATAAAATTAATAGTTTTTAAATAGTTTTTTTTTATAGTTTTTTAATAGTTTTTTAATAGTTTTTTAATAGTTTTATTTAATAATTCATTTTCAATTGTGCAGTTATCGACCTGGTCAAAAAGGGCTACTTTTAGGGTTTTTCCAGCAATAATTCTAATTTTTCTCGCCGTAAAAACCATCCTTGAACTTCAACGAACATTTGAAAAAAAGATTTGGCCAAATTGGTCCAGGCGTTGTTGAGTTATGCGCTTACCAACACATTTTGCGATTCATTTTGATATTATAGATTATTAAAATATAACATAAAATATAAACATAAAAATTATTTATAGTATTTCCAGGCAAAAAAACGGTCTCTTGATCACCCGGTCTTGGCTGTGCCGGTGGGAAACTTATATTGGACGATACTGCTGACCCGCCAGAACCATTGCAAAGTCTAATTAGTAACATTGATAATCATGTTAAAGCTTTTATAGTCGGAAGTACAATCCTGCCTTTCA